CCTCCCCAACCCCCCCTCCAGACACAGCCTTGGCAAGACCTACAACATAGTTCTGGGATCTGGACAGGTGGTGGTGGGGATGGACATGGGCCTTCAAGACATGTGTGTCGGGGAAAGACGAACAGTTGTTATTCCACCTCATCTTGGTTATGGAGAAGATGGAGTTGGTAAGTGAGTGAAACCTATTGCACATCCGCTTAGCACCTCTTGAGTAACTGAAACATTAAGTATGCATGTTTTATTACTTGCTATGCATTAGGACATAAGGTGAGTGTCTCTTAGCTGCTTGAATGGGATTTTTTTAGAGTTTTTTCATTTCATTATTTTAGACCACACCCCCCCCCCCCATTCCCATTTTAGCCCCCCCCCCCCCCCTCCCCGCATTCCCCAGTGAAATGAATATACTGTCTGTGTTGCATTTTAAGTCATAGTGTTTACTGTGGCCAATATAAAGACTATACCAGTACCAAAGGGAACACACGCCTCCAGCAATGTTGCTTTGTCAAAATGGAAAGCTCCAGGCACTCTGGTGTTGCAGAGGGAGTAAACACTGTTCTCCATGATAGGGAATTGGGTACTCATGCTTGGACGTGTGACATGTTATTCAGGAAACAAAACTGAAGGGGACTGTTCAGCACTAATATGTTAGCAAATACAGAGAAAACTCAAAATTCAGAAACTGCATGAACTGAATGTAAGATGTGAAACAGTGTGTCAGTGCTGTTGAAACACCAACAATAACACATTTAAGGCAGTTTGCTCTGTTTTAGAGCATTGAGGCTTATCAATTTTTGATGACAGGGACAAAAATATTAAAAGGAACAATATAGAAGTGACAAGAACTCTCATTTTTCAGTATGTGTGGTTGTTACTGGTCTTCTGAGTTAAAAGACTTGTGGGAAAGGCGTCTATCAGGAGATCACCAAGATCAACAAACTCTGATTTATATGGAAACAGTTGTATAAGTTGCTATGTTCTTTGAGTACCTCCAGATCAGTTTGTGTTTTTATAAAGACTGTCTGTCAAGCATCACCTGTCAAGCTTAATGGAGAATTAATTTGCAATAAGAGATAAAGCAGCATTTTCACTTGCACCTGGCTTCCACAAAAATTATGAATGAAAAATTATAAGTATTATAAATATGCAACATATTATGCTATTATATATAGTTGCATAGTTACATATAATAAATAAAAAATTTCCTCATAAGATTAAAAAAATCTGCTGTGTTAAAAAACGTTACAAACATTCCTGTCGTAGGTATTTGCCATCATTAAAATTACATTGGATATACATGGTCAGAAACACTGCATGTTTGTTAGTGTTTTGATATATACCCGGATATCTGAAGAGATGGCTCGTTTGCTACTGGATGGAAGTTAGAGGTGACCTCAATTTTCTTTTTCAAGGACAAATTAAACTCCTTCTGTGGTTTCATTGAGGTGACATCCCAAGCTGTTGCAACACTGTTGAGTCTGTCACTAGCAGCTTGATACACGGTGTATTGGCAAGACAAAGGAAAATTGATTCATTCCCACAATTTTACCTTTATAAGTAAAAAAATGGATGCAGTTTTATTATGAAAGTTTCCTTTATGTTTTGATCACCTCTGCTGAAGTGAACAGGAAGATTTGGTGGGCTTGGGATCACGGGGCTTGGGGATCACAGTTGGAGCAGGAAGAGAAATTATGGATTAAAAGGAAATATACTCTTCAATGTAAGTGACGATAAATACGCCTCTCTGCCATTTGTTGTGACAGAAGGAGAAGTGCCTGGTAGTGCTGTATTAGTTTTTGACATTGAACTGCTGGAACTGGTGTCTGGCTTGCCTGAAGGGTACATGTTTGTATGGAACGGTGAAGTCTCTCCCAATCTTTTTGAAGAAATAGACCAGAATCATGATGGAGAGGTTCTTTTGGAGGAGGTAAGCTGAAACAATGAAAACGCTTGCAGTGGTTTTCTTCTAGCACCATCATTAAGGTACTCGGATGTTGAAGAATGGGGTCTTCTCTCTTCTGCTCTCCTCTTGTCTCACATGGTGTTTGTTGTCAAGTTAGCAGGAAGGCAGCGTGTTAGTTAAAACATGATTATTTAGCTTTAGAGATAGAACTGAAAAGGAAAAAGAAATACAAGAATGGCCGTACGACTTAAGAGCATTTACTGTTGTGGTCTCCGTGGTCAACAACATGTCACTCTCCTATATCACTCTCTGTTCAATTCATCTTCCCCCTAAATTATGAAAAAGAACTTTTCTTGTTACGGGTCCAGGACCCACTGGAATAAGTAAGGAAATCCCTGTTGAGCTCCAGAAAGAGTGATTTAACCTCATGTGTCTGTCCTAATTAGTCCAGATTAGGTTGTAACAGTGTACTTTGATGTACACTTAATAATAGGTAGTAAAATGCTGAATAGTCAAAACAAATAAATGCTACTTTTGTGAATACCTCTTCAGTTTTAAATGTCTGTTTCATTGTGAGCTGCTTTCTCCTCCTTTCCCTCCACCTAGTTTTCAGAGTACATTCAAGCTCAAGTTGATTCTGGCAAAGGAAAACTGGCTCCTGGTTTTGATTTTGAAAAGATTGTTAAAAATATGTTCACCAATCAAGACCGGGATGGAAATGGTAAAGTTACTGCTGAAGAATTCAAGTTGAAAGACCAAGAGGCCAAAGAGGAACACGATGAACTGTAAAGCTAAGAAAAAAAAGAGTCCTGAGCTGACCTACTGTTCGAACGTGTGTACTGGAAGAGGTTTCGGCGAGCATGTTTCTGAAAGGTTAGCGCTCAGCTAGACAGCCTCTGTCTGCCTGTGCCTATGTGCTGGTAGGCTGTTAAAATAGGAAGAGATTTTCAGTTGGAATTGTTGGGTATATTTGGAAAAAAGTGTTAAGTGCCTCAAGGTAGGATGTATAAACGGATAAAGAGCGTACTGCCATATGTGGTGTTGTGAACCACGTGGTCCGTTTTTATGCTAAAGATTAGAAGTCATCATCAACACTCAGTCACTTGGATGGATGGTAGGGAGAAAACTTATCAAGTGCTTTTAGAAGAGTTTTAAAAAACCTTCTGTATCCGAAATATTTCTGCAGGAGGACAAACCAGAAAATACTCCCCATGAAAATAACCTGTAAAAATTGTCAGACATTGAGCCCAGTTCCTTTCAGAAGGCATGAGCACTCAAATACGAATATTTGCTAGCAGGAGCTCCGATCTGCAAATTGCAGAACATGCAAATGATAGCTATGCCATTGCAAAATTTCCATAAGCTGTGAATTAAATTAAACAGGCCTAGAATTGTAACTGTGTATGTGTTGGGTTTTTAACCTTACGAAATAAAAGTTTGCTACCATCTATATTGTATTTAATTAATAACCTTGACTCTTCTTGCTGGCCTGTTGAAACAGTGTTCTCTGATCAGTGATTCCCAAACCTTTCCAGTTGCAACCTTATTTATAGTTTTGTTAGACTTTAAATATTAGTATTATGGGGTCCAAATACTGTAATAAATGCTGCATACAACTGATTTTGTGTTGGGCTTCTGCCTCCTATTTTGGGAATTGTTAGACTAAGGAGTAAGTACTTAGAGCTTATGCCACAGAGCAGTCTGGCATGGCGAACAAACAAAAAGACAGTGATAGAATCAAGAAATAGACCCATCTGTTTATGCCTGCAAGTGTTCTGGCCCATCCCTCAGTACAAAATCAGGCCTGGGAGTGCTGTTTAGGTTACGTGAAGTCTTGAGACAGTCGCCCATTAGATCTATAAATGTAGCAAGTTCTTTAATAGAAAATATACTGAACACATATTTTTCTGGAAGGCCGTATGATCCCCCCCTCAGTAGACTACATGTAAAGAGCACAGATACGTATAGTGCGAGACTGTCAAAGACAAGTAGAAAGGGAGTTGTGTTTCCAGTATATGCTTTGTGTCTAGTTTCTCGCTTTTCTTGATCTGTACATGTGGGTTGTAAGCTCCCTGAGATGCTCTTTTTAAAAACTGGTATTTCAATTGGATGAAAACATTTTGTATTGGTTTTTAATACAGTTGTTACAGAAAGCGCAGTGAAATTTTTTTTGAGTTTGATACCATTAGGTGTTGGATAACGGATCTTTTTGTTGAATAAAATGTTGATCAACTATTACTGTTAAAGTTTCTTTCTTTTCTGGCACTTTGATGGGTTGGGAACTTGAATCGAAGCAAATACCCTTCATGCAGCTCTCTTCTCTTGCACACAGCAGGCTTATCCTGATATTTTCACTTCACCTGTAGCTCAAAAAACACAGGTATTGCATGTAAAATGCTGGAGTTCTGGTCTGGTTTGGGTTGATGTAAATATCATCCCTTTATACCAGATGTAAATACCATGGATGGCAGTGGGTGGCACTTGCAACCCAAATGTTTATGACCTGAATGGCTCCTTAGAAGCGTTACCATCTTGTGAAAGCAGCTTCCTCAGAAGACATTTGCGCAAAATTTTCCCCTTTCTTTTATTTGGAAGTAGGTTGCTCGCTTGTCGCTGTGGTTCAAATGCATGCTTCTGCACGCATACGGAGCTGACACGAGGAGCGGGAAGCAAGTTGTGGTTGAGTGCTGCCAGAAGCAGTCCTCGGTGTGGAAACAACTCCTTACCCTGTTCTCATACACGCCCCCAAAAGCCAAGCGTGTCTTCTGGATATCCAGGATTGTTTTATGTGAGAAGATCTTAGTGGATAGGTCTTTCTGCAGGGAGGATCATTCCAGGTGGTTCCCATGAGGTGGTCTGAAGAGTGCCTAATAACCCTGGACCGCAGAGCCGCACTGCGGGGCACATGCGGGACGAAGAGCAGCACCACGCACAGCAGCGCAGTCGGTAACGCTGAAGATCGCCGTGCTGGACGTTCTTGGAAGCATGGGTCAGTGATGGGATAGCAGGTTTGACTTTACCAGTGCCTCCAGCTAGGGTAAGAACATCTAAAATTCTCATTCCATTCTCCTTAGGCCTTAGCAAACATGGCTTGTGATCCATCTAAATGATGTTTTTCTGTCAAGAGGAAGTTTTTGTTGCTGCCTCACATCACACACCCCCCGCCCAAGTCTGGAGGCTGCCATTTTGGAAATGAGAACGCAGCTTTGGGGGAAAGCAGAGAGTAAGTGGAAAAACTTGCTGCAAAATAATTGTATTTATACTGGGCATTTACTTGCCCAGGCAAAGGCAACAGTGGCTAGAACTACTGGCTACATTAGACTAAACTGGATAAAATCCAGAATTTTTGATTACTTACGTAGACGCTATCAGCTCTCTTCCTTTCTGTTGGCAGCTATAGCCTCCTCCCTCAAAGGAAAGCTTGGGGCCATCTTTCTTCTCAGGGAAGGGTTGTACTTAGGTTGAATCCTCTACCTGTTGCCTCCCATGCTGTGTGACAGCCCTTTAAAAGCGAGGGCAGTCTGCCCGGCCAAACCAGAGCCTGGGGGCTGGGTGAGCTCACTGGGAAGTGAAATTGTGCTGGTGTGGACCAGGAGAGCTTAGCACAGCCCCTGCACCTCCAGCGATAAATAAATCCCTCTTCGTCACCATCCTGTTTGAGGTGGTGGTGGATATAGATATAAGGGAAATGTTTTCTACCTCAAAGTGTAAAATAATTTTTTTTTTATGCAGTGTCCTGGTTTCGGCTGGGGTAGA